ATTATAAACTATTAAAAAAATTACTACAAATTCACCTATACGTATCTTAAATTAAATCATCATTCCCGTAGCTCGATAAAAGATGAACTTGTACATGAAAAAAGCTATGTCTAATTTAACAATTAATTTTAGGGGGCACCGAACTGCAGTTTTTTTCCTGCTTTACAGTATTGTTGAGTGGCCAAAAGGAAGTGCTAATGAGTCATGGCACGAGCTAGTAGTGGAGCAGTTATGTTTGCAGTGCAATCAGATGGCGGCACGCTAAAGAGGAAGAGGTTCCTCGCACCTTCCCGATAACAAGCCATGCCGCTAAGTCAGGGACTGCCTCCTTGCTCCTGAGTTCTTCCTTGAGTTGCGGCGAGCTATTGCTTGCAAAACGCTAATATTGGCCGGTGTGTTACAAATGCAGCAGAAATAATGAGTTTTGTAAATGAACGGTAGGGAAGCTACAGTTGTATATCAGGTAGCAAATGCATCTCACACACACACACACAGCACCGTATATTTTATGAATATATATTTAGATATTAATAAAATTAAGATACGAAGGTTAAATTAAACTCGCGAGAATAATAATAAAATAATTATCGAGTACTCGATATGTGCATGTGTGAGTAAGTATCGGTTTTTATAAAAAGATAATTAAAAAAAGAATATATATATACGATGAAAATTGAAAAATAAGTTTAAAAAATTGAAAGTTACAGGACTAAAAATTGAGAGTTGAGGATTGAAAATTGAAAGCTGGAAGCTAATTTAAATATTTCTACAGTAAGTCTCGAAGCTTTTACTTTCCCAAAGCAACTTTGAAGAGTTTTACTAAAAATGGAAAATATCGATGTAATATATTTAAAATTGCGTTTAAAATAGTAAAATATAATATTTTACCGTTAAATATGTGCTGACTGTTTTGTGAATGATAATTTAATGAGTTACTCTTAATTATATACTTCTCAACTTCAATATTTAATGTTATGGAGGAAATAGTAAATAATAAATAAATATATGTTTATGAATATATATTTATCTATTTTTCTGTACGCCAACAAGTTGAAATCTTACTGATCAATTTATCCAGGGTTTTCGTGTTATAATGCTATCGCTGTACATTACGTGTAATGACTTTCGCGCGATAACAATTATCGCGCAAAATTTATTACGGCGACTAGCAAACTTTTTTCTTTGAGAAAATGACTTTCAGTATACAAAGTAAAGAGAATTTTCGTGAAAAAATAAAGAGAATATAATGTACACATAACATATTATATATATTTTCATAGTTTTTTATTTATAAGCAGATAAATATTATAGTGAAGCCTTAAATAAGTTGCCAATAGATAACGAATAATTGTTAATTTTAAATAGATTTTATGTGAAATAAAATTTAAATGAATTTTCGATTTCACAATAAGTTATTGTTATCGAAATACCGACTTCGTGTCATTAGAAGTTGTTATTAAAATATTTACCGATATAGTTTTAGTTACTATTTTTCAATATTTGCGAACGAGATCTTTTAAGACTAAGAATTACAATGCACCGACATGAATAATTTTTATAATTATAATATTATTTTATTATACGTATATAATATAATAAATATTTTTATTTTATCAAGGAAATGTTAGACGAGAGGAGAACCATGGAAAAAAAATTCAAAATTTAAGGATGAAGCGCTCGCTATGAAGAGAGCTATCCATCGACAGTATGGTAATAGTAGACACTGTCATGGAGTTGCTCTCTTTGTGGATGCCGCTTGAGTCAACGCTTCAATGAAGTTGATCTTTTACGACAAATCCTTAGGAACATAGACTACAAGGAAGAAATAAGAGAGGATAGTTCCAGCTAGCATATTTATATGTTTAATATTATTGTTTAATATTATTAATTTAATATTATTAATTTATCCTGATATTAATATTTTTATAAATGTTTATTAATTTATGTATGTATTTTTTATATATCCTACAGGTTATTATATATATATATTAATATAAGATCTTTTTTATAGCGCCTGTAAATATCTATCTTTGGCAAATATAATTTTCATCTCGTTTATCTAATATGTATTCAATCTGTACGTTGAGTGCTACAGAAAAATTGATGCAAAAGTACACCTTTTCTACCATATGTATATGTTTTCTCTCTCTCTCTCATTCAATATTAACTAATACTATGCAATTGTGTTATTGATTAAATAATAATACCGCATAATAAAATTTACCAAAAAATAGAAATTATAAAATATACTTTATCATTTACGATATCAATTGTCTATAAATGTTTTTCCTACAATTAATTAATCTGTAGAAAACGTAATTGAACTTTTTAATTTGCGCATAATTTTATCTAATAAAAAAAATCTTCAATGGCAAAATCAAATATATGTGGTAACAAAGTACGCTGAATGATATGAGAAAATAAACACCACCTAATTATTAGGTGCAAATGACTGTTTTTGAATTTAAACTTTAGATAAATAAATAAAATGAAGTAAATTTAAATTGAATTATGGACTCTTTAAAGTTTAAAAAAAACTTTAAAAAATTTTTATTATAAGCGTTTAATCTCAGAAATGATTTGTATTAAAACACAAAGAAATGGTCTTAATTTAAAAACAGACACCGAAGGTCTCGATCAGTCATACACGGATATATAATATTAGACAAATTGATAAACAATAATTTGACCTAAAGACTATTTATTGTATGTCGCATTATATTGACTGTCTTCATTACATTGTTATGTGTCGATAGATACTGACACTTTTAAGACGAAATTGTCAGATAATTTTCTACGACTTTTATTGAAGTATGGAATTGTGTTTTTGTGTCTACTAACAGAGGTAAGCCCGTTTAATATTTTTATTAACAAGATAAACTTTTGTTATCTCGAATTATAATTTTACATAAAAACTTCACAGACATTTTTTCCAATTTCAAAATTTAGTTAACACCTTCACTCCACCAAGTTGGCTTTACTTCTGTTGGTGCAGAATGTTACTGCGTTTCAACAACATCATCATCTCTAAGATTATTTTATATTGTCACTGATGATGGTCCAGACTAAAGGACCGAAACGTTCGACTCCGAATTTTTGTATCTAAATGTAAGATTTTTTGTATTATCCGCGCTCCGTTAACAGCGTATGACTCTGTATAGCCATTTATATACTTGATTAATTTTGATGTTTTTTTTTTAAACTTTAAGACCTTCATTTGACAAACTTAAAACTTTTGCTTCACTAATAACAATGTTATTAGTGAACAATGTTATTAATAAAAATGTTAAACGGGCTTACCTCTGTTAGTAAACAAAAACACAATTCCATACTTCAATAAAAGTCGTAGAAAATTATCTGACAATTTCGTCTTAAAAGTGTTAGTATCTATATCGATAACAATGTAAAGGCCTCTGTACACGGTCAGTAATACTGTCAGTATCAACGAATACTGACAATATTATTGATTGTGTGTGATTAATATTAATGGATTGACGTAGAATACTGACGATGATTTGGACTTAAATACATGCTTTTTCCTTAAGATCCATGTCGCCATAGATAATAATATACGTCAAATCACGTCAAACTGAAGTGAAATATTATCAATAATATCTGATCGTATAAGATTATAAAAACTAATGTATACTGTCACTAATACTGATCAGTAATACTGACTCAGTATTATTGACCGTGTAGGGAGGCCTTAATGAAGACAGTCAATATAATCTTCATCTGTATTCTTTTGCCAACGTGATACAAGTGTATTAATGCCATTTTTTTTTAAATCTGAAGAACAAGAATCGATGATTTTTCGTGGAATGCATCTTTAACATGTTTTTCTTTTTAAAAAACTTTATCAACTACAAATCAATGCATATACTTAAATAGATGGTAATTCATAAGTGAAGTGTCTGAAAAATAGGAAAGATGAGGAAGACTTTGAACTTCAGCTCGGCTAGTATTTTTACGTTTTTTTTTTTCGCAATGTATATGGTCCTGCATTTTCGTGAAGCAACAACGCACCGTATCTATTGACCAGTACCGGCTGTTGAGCGCACACTTTGGTACATGCATAATGTCGATTTCCTAACAGTATTTATCAGCATTTATAGCCTCATCTTGTTTGATAAATAAAGAATGCATGATGTCCTTATTTGACCACCTAGCTAGGTGGTCTCAAGAGAGAAAGAGAGAGAGAGAGAATATCTTGTGTATACAATATATATGTATATACACATACACACACACACATATATATATATATATATAATATATATAAAATATGTACATGAAAGAGAAGTAAATGCGTATATAAAAAAACTATGCGACATTTAAAATATTTTAAATAAATTAGTATTATATACTGTCTATTTTTATTTTATAGATTAGTTTGTTGATTATTCAAAGAAGTGTTTCTAAACAGCAAAAATAACACAAATTATCAGAAAATACAGACTGATTTATCAATAATTCCATTTAATGCTAAATTGCGCCAGTATACGAAAGTTCAGTGCTATTTAAAAGGTCAAAGGTTTCTCGAGAAGTAATATATATTATCAAAACAGCGGACTTCTTCAAGAACATCTAACAGCAACTCTCTAAAGAAGATCTAAAAAAAAACATGCATGTGGAAAGGCTCGGAGGCGCGTGCTCCGTTTTTAATTCGCTTCACCAGGAATCCACAGACCGCCGACGCCGGTAACTGTTACAGTAGGCCGGCGTCATGTCTGCTATTATTCGACGTGCCGCGGGAGAATCGGGCTCAGTTGCGTGATAAACGTGGAGCACCCAGGTAGGTGGGCGCCTTGCACGATCAAGCTTGATGGATCCTCCTGTCTGATGTGGAAATGAGCTTTATTCCTCATCGAGTTCTAAAGTGTCATGTTATTAAAGAAAAATCTATTTTTAATTTCTTTTATTATACGAACCAAGTTTAGTATAGCCATCGATTATTCTTCAATCTCTTAATTTCCATTCTTTCTTCGTTTCTTATTTTGCGAAAAACTTGGCGTGGTGTACAATATGTATATTCGCGTGTGAAAATGTAATGTAATATAATGTATTCACATTCAAAGATTGTCAGTGCTTCATATAAATATAAATGCTATGTAACGGCAGCTGTAAGTATTTAATTAATGAACATGCTATTGTCAATATCAAAGAAGAACTTAAGTCGGCCTGGATAATCGCCTTCTAAATTTAATTACGTTTGACTCGCGCGACATGCCTCTGTTTTTATTGATTTAATTTAATATCATTGGTGTGTAAATGCATCTCGATGCGCAATTATATCTACATACTCGACAGTCACGGCTGCTGGTAGTAGACTGCGAGACTACTATCGTTAAATCTCGAACAATATAGTGCATATTTCTGCCTCAAATGAAAAGTGTTTCACACGTGTGGGTGTTTTCAACATTTGTGAATAGATTTCATCTACTCTATCTTACCATCTTTCTCGATAAACTCAATAGATATTTTAGGACAGAAGTCATCTTAAAAATAATTCCAGTGTTAATAATTGCAGTGTTTATAAATTCTTTTGTAAAACCTTAAGATGAAAAAAAGATAAAATTAAAGAGATAAAGTAAAATACAAATTTTCTACAAATTTTACCGTGGAATTTTATTTAATATAAAAATATTCGTATAATCGGAAAAATTAAACAGCAAAATAAAAAAATAACATACATACAGTAAAACTGTAAATAAAATTAGAATTAAAATATCAAGTGCAACTTGATATAAATTGACGTATAATAGTTTTTAAATATAAAATAATATATTATTAATATCGTATATCAAATAATAAAAAGGAACTACTTTTTCAAATATAATTGTTATTGCCATAGATCGCCACTTTTAAAATTCAAAATAAAGACGTAGATAATTTTATAACATTAATAAGTTGTTCTTTGCAATATAGGCGAAAATTATAGCTTAATAGCTCATAAATTAAATTTTCGCGAGATCCACATATAGCTGTACACACATAATTGCATTCAGTTACAAATGTTGCCACGTTGTTCTTTATGACAATTAGTGCAACAAACGCAGTTAATGAAATAAATTAGTAAATTAGCTGGCTACATATTTAATGTTACGATATGAAAATGGGTAAATTTATGAATTTATGCAGCAAAAGGGAAGTCGGGAAAATGAGTTTGCGCTGGATTCACGAGAATCTAGAAGCGCCAACGTGCGACGAGGAGTGCAGCGATATCGATGACAGTTGCAGCGATGACAGCTGCGACACGGAATTGTCCCTCCAGGAGGAGGATGTGACGAAGAATGGAAAAGATATCGCTCGCGATGGCCGAAAGAAGAGGGAAACCAGAAGAGCCCCGACCTCAACCGTTACGTTCGATGGAAACGGGTATAATCATCTTGGATATTTAATTAAATCGTAATTGAGAATATATATCAAGTGAAATACGTGATTATAATGGTCCAGTTTGTATTTAAAAGTACGATTAAATAATCTTTCAAAGTAAAATAGGATATTTCGGCCAATTTGTGAAAAAAGGAATAAATTGGCTATTGTTTCTATTTCATATATATGAACGTTCTAGTGACGGTGAAATGCGTAATTTGCGTAAATGAATGATTTAGTATTTTAGTATATTTAATTTCTGGAACAAAGGGAATATAAAACGCCTGCCTGTCACTCTGTAGAATATACAACGAATGCGTCTGTCTACCTAATCGTCCTCCAGCACACGTTATAACGTATGTCGTATACTCATTGATCACTTGACTCGATTAACTTTCTGCTCTATATCACCACAGGGTCAGGAGGTGCACATGTAGTTTACGTTATTAACGGTATTAAACGCGAGCTTGATGTCGTGAAACGTCGCGACTACAATTTCATATGCAAATTGCGCAATGCACAGTCGCGATACGCGAAAATATGATCGATATTTTCGAGTTTGAAGAGGCTATATCACATTTGCGATATTAGAAATAAAATTTCGTCTGAATTTGTGAGAACAGGAAAGAATTATTTTTATCACGCTCTCCTTCCGTGTGTTGAAAGAAAAGTGTTACTTTACATACAGAGTAAATTTTGATTAAATTGGATATATCCATGAATCAGCACACAATATTTATAAAATGTTTACAAAATATTTGTAAGATTCATTTTCAATATTTAATAACTATTTTTGTGGTCTTAGATTGCACAAATTATAGATATTTATTATAAAATAAAAGTAATTATATAAGGCTCAATATGTATAAAATAGTGTATAAATATAAAAAGGACAACGAGGCAAGTAAATTAACGCGCGAACAATTTAATTTAAACAATCATACATTATAAATATTCTGTGCTGACTGGGTATTTCAGTAAGGTGGAGTTATTATGAAAATAATACATTGAGAAAAATGTTTGGATAAAAATGGACGAATCAGAAAATTCTGATTCATCAATAATAATTCATAGTAATCAAAATTTCGATATCACAATTAGAGTTTTAGAATTTAAAGAGAAAATTATAATTCGTAAAATTCCATTTTCAATATGAAGTCAAGGACGATATAAGAGTCAAAAAAGATTTTTGTTCAACAATAAAACATATAATTAGTAACTACTTTCGATAATTAATTTAATAAACATTACTTAACGCTAATTCGCCTTTAAACAAATAACTATGATAATTAATAATAAATATAAATAAGTTTACTAGTTTCTCGGCTCTCGGATTGAGCCCTCCAAATTTTGTTTAACATTTTTAAAGAAAGTTTTTTACCACCGTTTCAGAGATATTGTTATACATACGACTTTTCAATCGTGTGTAACTAATGTCGTTTTTCTATGAAGACTCACAAGATTAATGGAAACTGCACGAACGATCTTTCAACGATTAATTTTGTCCACCGTTTTTTAATATGTCTGAGGAGGGCCGAAACTTGTAACTTATTTATATTTATTATTAATTATCATAGTTATTTGTTTAAAGGCGAATTAGCGTTAAGTAATGTTTATTAAATTAATTATCGAAAGTATAGTTACTAATTAAATGTTTTATTGTTGAAAAAAAATCTTTTTTGACTCTTATATCGCCCTTGACTTCATATTGTTTATTTTTATATAACGAGTCCTTATTTCATTTTCTATTAATTTGTTATTCCATTTTCAATCAGAATTCCAATTAATCAAACCAACAATTTTTTTCAGTGATATTAATCTACACTATCCATTTTGTCACTATTGTTAATTTTTGTAGTTTAGATAGTTCATTAAAATTAATTTAAATAAAACATTGTACGTAGTCACAGGCTGCATTCCAGCAAACAATAAATGTAATTATTATATACGTAAATATACATCATTTTACATTTTTATATATCAATTATATTCATGATTGGTTTAAGATATGCTGAATAAAAAGTATCATTTTCTTGTAATATTTATCTAAAAAATATAAATATAAGTTTTTCTAAAAGATAAAATACGTATATACATGTATTAAGAAAAATAATACGTCAAATTAGCATGTGCTCTTTATAAATAACACCTTTTTTTTTATAAAGAAATTTTTTTAAAGAAAAAAAAGAGAGGAAAAGAAACTTATTCGTTTTTAAGCAAAAAAAACTATTCAAGAAAAATTTTAATCAAAATGCATAAACACCTTTCAATATTTTCAAATTGAAATTAATTTTGTTTACATATAAAGTTATTATCAATATCGTATGACTACATCATTGAAACCATGTAAAATTAATAATTGTGTTAACGTATGCCTTCTGATGATGGAGACTGAGCTGTTCGCGTAACTATAATCTCGAACAAAGCCTATTGACATTTCGTTTCCTCTCCCCCGAGAATCGGTTTAAAATTAACAAACTACGGGAGAACGCCTACGATATCGCGTGGTGTGCTTCATTCACGGAGCTTGCTGACCTGGAAAAATTGGCCTATATATTTTACAGCGTGTATAAAAGCACAAACAACCTTTATAGTGGCAAAGAAAACTTTAACGTTTAATGGCTTAAGAAATGTGGTAGTAGGTATAATACATGTCAGAGAAAGAAAATATGTCAAGCTATGTCAAAAATGCATAATATATTAAAAGAATAAAATGTTAATTTATAGAATAAATTAATAGAAGGCTCAACAAGTATAAAACAAATTGATTAAAAATAAGAGAAAAGAGCCAATAATTTTTTAAAAAAGATATATAAATGTAATTAACTCAAAATAACAATACATTAAGCAGAGTAAAATTCGCAAGTAAGAATTCGCACATACGTTTCGACACCGATCGGGTCATTTTCAATGTTAAATTTAAAATTAAGTGTGTATAATAAAATTAACGAATCAACAATAATAAAATTACATATGTATAATTATAATAAAATTAACTAGTCACAAATATAAAATTAAATGTGTATAATTGAATAATTAAAGAGTCGTGAATATAAAATTAAATGTGTATAATTGAATATGGATCTTCCTTTGTGATAAGTTATATAAATCTTAACAGAAATGTAAAATATTTCTTATTTTTATTTCAAGCAGTACAGTCGATTTTTATAATTGTAAATTAGATTATTTTATTTTATTTTATTTATTTATTTATTTAATTACAATAATGGATCTACTGGATTTTTATACTGGATTATACATTTTTTATTACATTTCTGTTAAGATTTATATAACTTATCACAAAGGAAGATCCATATTCAATTATACACATTTAATTTTATATTCACGACTCTTTAATTATTCAATTATACACATTTAATTTTATATTTGTGACTAGTTAATTTTATTATAATTATACATATGTAATCAGGAGACGCGGTAGCGTCTCCGGCCATGTTCAAAAAAACTGTGATTTTATTATTGTTGATTCGTTAATTTTATTATACACACTTAATTTTAAATTTAACATTGAAAATGACCCGATCGGTGTCGAAACGTATGTGCGAATTCTTACTTGCGAATTTTACTCTGTTTAATGTATTGTTATTTTGAGTTAATTACATTTATATATCTTTTTTAAAAAATTATTGGCTCTTTTCTCTTATTTTTAATCAATTTGTTAATTTATAGCATCTATTTGAAATACAAATAAAGTTTTGTCAAAATTAAATTAGCATTTAAACAATTTACTTTTAGTTAATCAGTGAGAGATATATAATTGTTAATATTTTTATTAAAACATTTAATTTTTGTGTAAAAGAATATTTTTCAAAATATATTAAATGTTATATTGTCCTATACATATAATTTTAATGAAACTAATTCGTTATAATATCATTTGTGTGTGTGTGTGTGTGAGACTTATATATGTTTTGACAAAAATTCGAACTTTTCGTTAAAATTTCACAAGTTTGTCCCTATTTCTGTTTAAGTTACGTAATATGTAACTATACGTCGATAATCCGTGGACTATTTGATTGCAATTGTAGAACGCCACGCAACATTGAACGTAACTGCAAATCACGCAAGTACCCACCTTACATAATATGGGATCCACGACAACCAGCGAAAAATCCTATCTATAATTGTCGAATAATTAAGTTGTACTGTCGCACCGGATATCATCTAGGAATTACGCCTTCGGGGCGGGTGGAAGGATTATCCGGAAACAAAGAGCCATATGGTATATTTCCGTCACACTTGTTAAATGCAATACTAAGTCAAGTAAAATAAAACCGTTTGCAATATACATATGTATATGTTACATTACATATGTATTACAACAATGACAATTTACACAAACGATCACTGTTAAGATTTTTATTACACACACAAAAGCTTATATACTCTTGCAGATCTGCTTTACGCAACACCGGTATCTTTTGGTGTTATTAGAATACAAAGCGTCGAAACGAGGCTGTACTTGGCATTCAACAAGAAAGGGCGGTTGTACGGAGAGGTAAAATGTTGGACGATACTATAAAGAAATGAGTAAACCCTCTGTGTAAATCATTATATTACGAGAGTAGTTGATATAATAAACGAACCATAGAATATAACTCGGTGTGCTATGATGCTAATTTATTATCTGTAAATTTTATGTATATAGCATTCTATTAACAATCGATAGATACATGCATATATGTATATGTATACACATACACATATACAATAGTCGTAAAATTATTATTGATTTCATTTAAACTTAAAAGTGAATCTTGTTTAATCATATTAGTTAATTCTTTTCCACAAGATGTTCATCAATAATAATTTTAAAAAGATGGTTGAGATCGATTGCAAGTCCAATTTGTCTAATTTTGATTTTAGATAAATATGACTAATGACAACACCGAATGGGAACAATGGAGCATTGGTTCCTACGATGCGTTCAGATCGCGAAAATACGCGCAATATGGATGGTGGATAGGAATAAAGAAAAATGGACGAGCAAAGCCTGGGCCGAAAACATTTTGGGGACAAAAAGCTATACAATTTTCGGCTATCCAAGAGGATTAATCGATTAATCGACCGAAACTTTTAAGATACAGATACGCTTTATAGGGCATGCCTCTTATTTCCGACAATTCATTCGTTACGTAAACTTTCTCAGAAAGAAATTCAGGACGATCATGAGTGTTTTATGAGCTATGATGTTGTATGATAAGGAATAAGAGAATCATTTAGACAAGGCGATAATTATCGAACAGTAATGTTCCAATAGAATATAATGTTTATTATAACACCGTGTTATACTCAACAATAGGATACTCAAATTTGGGATTGTACACTCCTTTTGTATCTTTAAACTAAACTGTTGCAAGTTGCAATTCCTTATTCGTAGTAGATACATATTTGTTATTACATGTCAATCGATACATCAAACTGTTAAGTAAGACGATTGCGTACGTGTATGTACTTGAATCGTTTCGTAAATAACAGAAATTATCTTATTATTTTGCTTATATCATATGCATTAGCTTTTCGTTAATACGGCAACAATTATAGCATATTCCAAAAAATTGTATATAATGTTATATTCTTATATGTTATCTCTTATATATAACGCGTATATATAAATGCGTCAAAATGTTCCAAGCAAGAATTTTCTATTAAAGAAGCAAATATACCTCAATGAAATATATGTATGGCTTTGAATGTTTTAATACCCAACTTTGCGAATGTAAAATGTGTATCTTTAAAAAATACATATATACGAATGTAAAAAGCAAATGTACGAAAGAGATGAATTTGTAATTATAATTGTAATTGTATACAAAAAAATTTATTAATTGAATTTAACAGTGTATATTAAAAATGTATACAAGAAATTAAAAAATAAATAAATATTAAATTATTTAGAAATATTTTTTTCTTCTTATATGTATATATAATTTACTTTAAATACACACACTGCTTAAACTAAATATCACGTTATTACATCCAGGATAACAAATATATATATTATTAGTACTGTTGTGTGCGTTAATTTCATAGAAAATAATTTAATCTTAATTTAAAGAAAATTAAGTGAAAAATAAACCTTTAACTTAACAAACATCTATTTAAGAAAATTTGTGAAACACTTAGGTTTATAAAAATTGTAGAAGTATAAAACATCGATCTCTTTGGTGCACACAATCTTAATTATAAGCGTGTTTCAAGTCACACAGTCACAGAATGCATTATAGTATTAAATATTAAAAAAAGTAATTAGAATTTTTTGTATAGAAGTGTATACAAGCCAATAAAGGCAAATTAAGATCAAATATTGAGATTTGTAAAGATTTTATGGTTTCTTTTGATAAATGTAAATCAGAATTAAATATATACAAGCATATACTTTCTAATATTCAAATAAATCACAGTTACTTTAAGATCACTGTGAGTTATTTTTATAAACTGTGTAATTATTTAATTAATATGGTATGGTTTACTTCTTTTTGGTATTAGGACTTGTTGACTGAAACACACTCGATGCTGACATTAAATTTTCAATGTACTGGCTTAGAACTTGATTCTCACTTCTCAACTTGAGATTCTCTTCCTTTACGCTGTCCACTCTCTGTGACAGATCTAGATAGAATATATGCATGTGCACATTACAAAAATATATTACCAATAAGTATATTCTCTTGCAATTTCAATCTTTACTGAAATATACATATACTTACCATCCAAAGTATTTTGTAATTCAAGAACTTGTGCAATCAATCTAGCTTTCTCTTCTTGCTCGTCTGGACTAATATCAGGATCTAAACCTATAATAAATATAAATGATTTTATAAACGATTTTAATTTAACAGTATTACAATATTTTATAAAAGCAAACATTTTACTAAAGTTTTTATATTTTTCTTTGACTGTATATAATAAGCTGGTAATAGAACTGAAAATATCACTTATGTAATGTTATTTTGTTCAATTTATAAATACAAAATAAACTAATATTTATTTGTATATTTTGTTGAAAAAAGGCAAACAATATAAAAACTACATATACTATAAGGAGAGAACAAATCAATAATATCACTTACTGTTAGGACTACAGCTGCCGTTAGTAAATGTCGATGGTATAGATTCCATACTGCGTCCTCTGCCTAACGGATCAGATATATGTGATGCATTATCCAAGATTTCTTCTTCTGGTATTATTACTATAAATATATGCAGAAAGTAAAATATTAATAAAATATTACTCTCTAATCAAGGATAAAAATAAGGCTCATTATTATTGTCAAAGTACAAGCAAATTGTTATATATAGAAAATGTACAAATATTTAAGGAGTTCTAAACAAAATAATTTACGAGATAAATAATTAAAAGGTCCAATAGCTCTTTCTGTATTTTAATCTGTATTTCTACATCAAATTCCGAGAAATGGAGTAGACGTCATATTACCAATTCACAGTTGGATGCAGCTAGTCTAATTCTCACACAATATCATATCCATAAAAATAATTGATGCGAATAAACAAAAATAAGAAGCAGGCAGATTAAATTAGCAAATTTAGTTATAAATAAAGTTAAATAACATTTGGAATAAAGACATGAAATTAATGTAAACTGTTCGAAATGAGCTAGGTTATAATTCCATTCATCAATAAAACATAGAAAGAGACAGATGTCGAGAAGAATCGCGAAATCAGATGATTCTAAACTCTCACCTTGTGGATCGTCATCCGCTAGAGGTATACTATTCATGTCGTCTTGAAGCTTGGCTGTCATTGTTACTGACATCCCTCGATTACGGTAACTAGGACGTAATACAATTAGATTATGTAGCTGCTAATCCGAATCACACCAAATCGTTCGTATTCTGAACAACTTTGAAATTGTCTAATATTATTCTTCAATCCTCGTTCACTTATCAGGCTGTGAACAGTTGTGTACTAAATTTACTGCCAACGCTGAAAATGCTACAGTTTACGTCACGTGTATTATAGATTGTATAGATATAGATTTTTAATTTAAAGCACAGAAAAAGACCTGAAAGAGGCCATATCGGCCTTTTTCTTGTTACCGTCGAAATCGCCCGCACACTACCGCCAGTACATCCATTTTCGGTTTGAGAATTAAGTAGCTATACGTTGATTTTCTGATCTTGTCGATAAAATCGTAAGTAGCACAGAGAACATAAAAAATGGATATGGTATAAAGAAAAGGCTACTTTTCGACGCTATTTATTAAAAATGTTAAAAAATAACTTTTTCTTTAGGCTGGAGTCACATTGAGCGGTAATTACAGCGGAACGGAATAGTGAAACCAATCAGAACTCTACAATCATTCCGCTGCTTTACTTTCTGCGATTGTGATTGGTCTCGTTGTTCCGTTCCGCTGTAATTACCGCTCAATGTGACTCCAGCCTTAGGCCTTACTTGGCCAAGTATAGCGAGTGGTATACATACAATCATACTATTCAATATATACAGGAATACCATGAGTGGCAAAGAAAAGGTTTCATAATAATAAAAAATCAAGGAGAGATTAGGAAGAAACGATTGTTTAGTTTAGCGCAGTATATCTGGGCTTATGTCTGTAGATAGAAAAACATACAAAAAAAGAAGATTTTAGAAGACTCCTGTTTGTTCAGAACGGGAATTTTGACAAAATTCAAATTGTAGCGATCATCGCCTATTGTCGCTAAAACATAAATAAATCGAACTACAGAAGCGACTGACAGCGATGACTTTTAAGCGACTGATGAAGTCACGTGACTCTCATCGCTACAAAAGTTGTGACTAATCGCCGCCATGAAAAGGTACCTTTACTGTCTGAGTGTGCACTGGTGAGTGGTGAAGCCAAGAGAAAACGCTATCAGTGTATCCAAAAGATAAAACGTATTGGTTTATCTCTTACAGAGAAGAAATACAGAATTGTTGAAAGATGGTAAGTATAAATGATATTTTTTAATTTCGTTGTAATAACAACTTATTTTGAACTATTTTTAATTTTCTGTACTTGACATCCAGCGTCGAGATTGGCAACGTGTTGATACATAAATGACGCAATTTAGCTTTATGCGCAAATAATGTGATTTTTAGACCTAAAATCTAAAATAAATCTTTTTTGAAGCGTATAATGTTAACTCTATTTGTGTTTTGATTATAATTGTTTTATAGATAAATGCATATTTATTTACGAATTTTGATTTTAACCTCCAATCAGGCTACACGTGGCGTATATATTTTTTTACTAGCTATACACACTGAGGTCCCAGAAATCCCAGTGCAACTTGCTAAATCGAGATTATTTCACATTTCTGAACTTTTCTTTTTCTTTGTACCAAAATATCTCGATGCTTCTTAATTCTATTGACGCTATGGACTTGTTCCTTAATCAATTCTCCAACGATTAAAAAAAAAATTGAAATATGTCCATTTTTATGGAAATATGATAACAAACATGAATGGGTCTCAGGGACTTGAGTGTGTAAATTAAGTACAAAAAAATAAGTACTTATAGCTAGAGTTAAAATGAAATAATACAATAATGGAATAATCCTAGCTTGTAGAACATAGTGATTTAGCAAATTAAAAATGCTTAGAATTTATATTAAAAGACAATTGCAATATTTTTACTTACAAAACTTACTTATTTTACAGAAGCTTTATTTCATTCTATTTGAACATGCAGCCGGATATGCCATATTTCGCGTTAAAGAATTTGAAGAGATTGGGATGCTGTTACCGCAAGTGGAAGAATCGATAACAGATCTATCACGTTTTCATGGTGTTGTAAGGCTTGTTGGATTTTCACCTTTCAAGACAGCAACGTCTGCTTTGCTAAATATCAACAGTGTTTCCGAAGGAATTATGACAGATGACCTGAGGCTTTTCATAGATTCTAGCTTTGGTGAATTTACCAAATCGGATATTGTTCTTGGTGTAGCAGATCCTAAACTTGGAGCTAATATCACTGAAACTTTGGGTATCAAGTGCGACCATGTCAATATTGTTCCTGAAATCACGAGGGGAATAAGATTCCACTTTCATAATTTAGTGAAAGGTTTACTTCCGAGTTTTACTTCTGAGAACTCTATACGTTCACAACTAGGTCTTGGGCACAGTTACTCGAGAGCAAAAGTTAAGTTCAATGTAAACCGAGTAGACAACATGATCATCCAAAGTATAGCCTTACTTGATCAACTGGACAAGGATATCAACACATTTAGCATGCGTATGCGGTATGTATAGTACACTCCTTAAATATATCGAAAATAAAATAAGATTAGAAGGTACTTGAATATAACTTTTTCATTTTGATTTTAGAGAATGGTACAGTTATCACTATCCAGAACTTGCAAAAATAGTTCCAGAGAATTATACATACGCGAGAGTTGCACAAATAATAAAAGACAGAAAGCAACTAACGGATGAAAAGATAAAAATGTTAGAAGAAGTTGTTATGGACAGTTCAAGAACAGAAGCTATTATTAACGCGGCCAAGTCGTCCATGGGAATGGACATAAGTCCAGTTGATTTAATGAACGTTGAGATTTTTGCTGGACGTGTTGTTGCATTGGTCGAATATAGGAAAAAGATGGCTGATTATTTAACGCGAAAAATGGCAGGAGTAGCACCGAATTTAGCTACTTTAATCGGAGATCAAGTCGGCGCCAGATTAATAGCACATGCTGGATCGCTTACTAATTTAGCAAAAGCACCAGCGTCTACCGTTCAAATATTGGGAGCCGAAAAAGCTTTGTTCAGAGCATTGAAAAGCCGTGGAAAGTCGAATACTCCAAAATATGGATTATTGTTCCACTCTACATTTATCGGTCGTGCCGGCACTAGAAATAAGGGTAGAATTGCAAGATACCTGGCAAATAAATGTTCTATTGCTTCTAGAATCGATTGTTTCGCGGAAATACCAACGAAGATATTTGGTGAAAAATTACGGCAACAGGTAGAAGACAGACTAGACTTCTTCACAACTGGCAAGGAACCGAAGAAAAATCTGGACGTGATGAAAGAAGCACTGGAGGAAACGGCACATGTGTTGGCAGAGCGTCATCTAGCTTACATAAAATTCTTAACCAATAGTAACGAATTGCTGTTGCAGCGTACTGCGCATGAAAAAGCACCAAAGTGCTGCAGCACTTGCGAGAATTTGCGAATATCGATAGACCTCTGATGACGGGTCGACGTAGTAATATTCTTCGCAATATTTATCCAAGGTAAGAAATAACGTTCTATTAATATATGTAGTCCCCCCAAATTGCGCGCCGAACAATTCTCGGTCTTGCAACGCAAATCTAATAATCTGATTTTTAAATGTCCCCTCTTCTTAATTATTGCGGGCCGAAGGATTTTCGGTCTTGAAACGTGTTGTCGCTTATTCGCAGTTATGAGAGAATCAAATAAATAAGAGGAACGATTACACACAATGCAATCTAATAATTACCTTTATTGGCCACTTGGAAGAAATTTGCGTTAACTTTTCAGGTTAATTACCTTATAGTTACTTCACCGCGTACCGCGGTTTGCCGCAGCGGTTCCTGGTTACTTTACCGCCTACCGCGTACCGCGTTCCGCGCTGCATGTAAAATCACCCTTACTATACCACAGTATACACAGCATATATGTAATACTACTATATGGCTAGATGAGAGAGAAGTCCATGTCCCAGAACCACGGTGCGGGAATATACTTCTCTCTCTTTCTCAGCATACTTTGAACGTTGTGCGCATGCGTCGGAT